ACTCTTCTACCGATCGAGTAACTAGTTACAAACATTTGGTAGTCAAATAATAAACAGCTACAAATATATTATATGTTTGGAAAATGCTCTATCTAAAACGTGTTTACACCACAAACATACATGTATATATTAATCAGAATGATAGTCTATTTACTCGTGTATTTCAAGGTTTACACAGGATAGTTTCATGTAACCTTAGTAAGTATATGTCATGGACAACGAATGTCGGAATGCTGCAAGATGGATTCAATTACAGTTATCTGTACTCGAAATCATATGCGACAATATTGTTCTTTAGAACAAAATTTGCTTGACAAACGTTTTAAGACATGCTTGCTCATTCAAGTGTGTACTCTTCAGATGATCTTTACATCTCGTATGTAAAGGCGCGTTCTATCTCAGAAAGTTGATCCTTTTAAAATCTGTTCAGATTTTTTATGGTGTTGGCGACATCTCTTTCTTTGTCAGTATTTAAATTAGAGTATAAAATTAACACTAACATGCAATCCCTGTACACCGTTTTTGTTACAAAACTTTCCAATTTTGGTCGTATCTATACAAATGCAGATAGTTTGTAGGTATAAGTTAGGGAATTTAAGGGCTCCCAAAAGGGGTAAGTAAATGTTCGACATTTCGATTAAGGATTTTGGTAACCGGTTCGTGGTATTTCGCTCGAGTAACCGGTTAACCGGCTAACCGTTGATAACCCTACATAATACATCTACATACCAACTCTATAACATCGGTTAATATCTAAATGTCGACCAATCAAGACCCGACCTAACACGGACACCTTGTCAAATAAAAAAAAAATAACGCAGATCGCACTAGTGTTCGTAGTGACACTGCACAATTTTACATAGGGATATTGGACATTGCATACATTTCGACTAATCAGAAGCCAGTCTGCAGCAGCCGTTTTGCGGAGATGTTGGCCCTTTTCCCCTTCTTCAAGAACACGATTAAATTATTCAATTAAACAACTTTTATTGTGGTCCATAAATCAGAACAGAAATTATTATAGCCTGAAATGACTCAGCAAATGATAGGCCATTATTTAGATCTGTTCGGAAACTTAACATCGAATATCATCAGTGACTACATGTATTATGTAAAAGAGTGCATTAATTAGGTTGCCTTCCACGCGTCAGCTGTAGGGAATTTCCCTTTAGCTTAGCAGTAGAGCATCGGGATGGAGAGCCAAGGGTCGCGGGTTCGAGCCCCAGCGACGGCACTATCTTTATTACTTTTCCTCGCCCTACTACAAATTGGTGTCGTTGACCCGCCCGTTCTAGGTAGGAGAACCCTTCATTCCAAGTTCGCGTAGGTACCTGACCAACAATCAACTGTTGGCTCAGCTCAGACCACGAATCGGTCGTAACGTCAACGAAGTGGATTATAGAAATTTACAGTACACAGATGACGACTTTAATTATGCTGTTTGCTGAATTTTAGTGCCGATCGACTGTACTTTCGTGACAAGCTCACTGCAGAAGCAGTGTAACTACCGTCACTGCCCGACGAGCCGAGTTGATTTTGACCTGCTACGGATAGAGGGTAATTGAAATTGAAAAAGACCTGTTATTGGATCAAATATCAGACTTTCTTTGAGTGACAGACATAAACATATTGTATCTAGATTTAAACTTGAAGTCAAGTAACGTCTGTGTATTGCGGTAGCACGTGGACGTATATTTTCAGCACAATCACAATAGAAATGATTGATTGAAATTTGTTTAAACATATTGATTTTTTTTTGTGTATAATTTAAAACTTGTTAACATAGGTGCATATTCAGTGTTTAAAGACGTTATACTGTATAACATAATAAAATATTGTCAAAATTGAGGGATTTCATACGTATTTTGCAGTGGCGGATCCAGAGACCTATCTGGGGTAGGGGTTCCAAATTTCCTGGGGGGGTTTCCATGTGGGGGAAAATTGAGGAAAATTGTGAAAATACATGATTTTTAAAGAAAATTATCAGGGTGTGTGGGGGGGGGGGGGGGGGTCCTGAAGCCCAAAAAACCCCTCTGGATCCGCCACTGTTTTGGTACACTGTAAAACTTTGTTTTGAAACACATTTGTCCAATATAATTGTCATCCAGAGTTAATAACTACCAGTTGATTTTAACTCGCAGAGATCTCTTCATAAAAAAAAGAAAATGCACCTGTCTACAAGTCTTAATATAAACCAAGAGTGATTCTATCATTGGTTACTCCACCGGAAAACTTAACACCGCTATACACTTGAAGCCTCCATAACTATGTACATAATTACTATCTTCGATTTATTTGTTTTATACATTTTTCCCACCAGGAGTAAAACCATACTTTGACACTTTGAGTCGTGAACTTTGTGACAAACTCTTTAGATATTAAGGCTATTATTTGAAACTCGTTATTTTCTTTTGACCCCTCCTTGTTCCCTCTGGTTCTATTTTTCATATATTCCTGCTGGTCATTTTTTTTATTGAAATTGGAAGGACTTTTGTTTTCGTGGTAATACAGGAATTGTATTATTTTACTTTCATAATATACCTAATCCAAACAGGTGGACTTTTCTTCTATTGAAATATATAACACACAAATGTATCTTCTGGATTTATTTTATATATCATATTTTAAGTAGTACCTTTCCTTTTTCCAATTTAATTCCATCAATGAATATATTAACTAGTCCTAAGGCCAAACGTAAATGTATATTTGCTTAAGTATGCTTTGTATGACCTTAGTCGCTTAAAAGAGACTTGGCGCAGTAGGCGCTAGCCCACTGTCCGTCAATAATGCACATCTCAATGTCGGAAACTCCCTCCGTCCATCCGCCTGACCGATTCATATAATCCTTTCCCTTGTTTAAATAAGATAGAGATACCCTTTAAAATAACAGTATAATAAATTAGAACAGGGATTATCTTTTCAGAAAGATAATTGGAGGAGTTCCCTGAATTATAGTTGGCATTTTTTAAGTGTTCATCGTTCTAAGGGAGCTAACTCGTTATGATTGAGTTAAAATCGCCAGATCAGATAAGCCACTATTTTAATTTGTATATTAATGCAAAAAGTCAAACAAATAAGCACTTTACTGCAAAACATGACCATTTTGAAAAGTGATTTGAATGAAAAGTTTATGTCTAGAATGTTTCGAAATTTATGTAGAATAAAGGAAAAAGGGAAAGATTCGAATTAAACCCGTACATGAAATGGCGTTACCTATTAATGTCTTTGGCTACAACATATAATTTTACTTTAACTTATCTCATGTAAGACCTTACATAATATAATTCCAGCTAAAAGGCTGCGGTCAAAGTGAAAAAAAATAAAAAATGTAGACTATTTCTATCGTTCAGTTCAGTTTAGTTCATAAGAACCCCCCCCCCTAAAATAACTAAAATAAAGCGAGCTTCATGAAATATATATGTAAACAATTTGCGTTCATACAGGCAAGGACATTCAGAAATGGTGATCGATCCTTATCTTTTGTAGTAAATGAAAATGTAGGTATTCTCTTATATTTTCGATTATATTTCTGTCACAAGATCTTGTGAAGCATACCAAAATAATAACAGTGGTAGTCCATTTAAGCACATTCGTATTAATCTGGGATTCACTTTATAGACAGGATTCATATAAACTCCGTCAAAATATCAATACTGTTCCCAACAGATTAAGGACTTTTTACTGAACCACATCTGATTCTATATGAAGATTTATATTTGGTTTAAATATTTGACCACCTTCAACATGACCTTATATGCTATTGATCGGTACTTGAGTTTCTGTTATGACTGATTTGATATAAATTATAGATTACTGTGTATCTAATGTAGTGTATATCTTTTACTATAAACGTAATGCATTACTTATGATATTTATTTATTATTCGAAATAGAACAAGGTCGGTAGATCAGTATTATCATATGTTTACTCAGAATATGAGTGTTTTTGCATATTTGATAACTTCTGACCACTCCTGATACCACTTCCGGTCACCCGTGTGACAAGTTTCTCGTAATGCGACCCCACCCCCCACCCCCCATGCGATAACAATTCTCGTAATGCATCCTCTGTTCGGAACACCTCTACTTCTGTATTGGATATGGGAAGCGCCCGAGGCGTTTCGAGTAAAATCCGGATTTGCGCTGTCTGTTGGTTTTTTGCTTAGACAGTGTGTTGAGCAGACGTCAACAAACAAAATGTTAACAAACCAGGGAGAGGAAATACTTAATTATCTAGCGTCTAGAATACTTGAATTATTATTATCAAAAACACAGCAAATTTCATGCTTATCGTCATCCCACAGTCTGTTTACTGGTGCACAAATTCACGGCGGTTCATTCACATTCAATTTTAACCCTGGGCCTACTCCTTTAAAGAAAAAGAGAGTGAATGTCATAACGGACTCGGATAGTGAATAAATCATGGCGTTTCATCTGCAATGAATACTATATTAGTAGTCGGACTAATAATTACTGACAGCAGCGATTTGAAACGAGATTTATTCAGAATTGACTGAATATCATCTTGTTATAATCTGTTTCAGTTGACATTGTTGATTAAATTATCTGATTGTTTTTCCTGATGACTTGATTTTTTTTACTTGAACATAATANTAAGGGATATGATATCAAAATGGTCATATAATAACCTCTAATTATTTAACTTCTTAAAATATGCTCACGTATTTGCCCTCAGACCATAAACAAACAAATTTCATTAATGCTGATACTGGTATATAATAGTACACAATTATCGATATTATTATTTTTTCTCGTGTATGCTGTTAATGAACCTGTATCTTTATTTGATTTGTACAGTAAACATAACTCTACTGGTATTTAAATACCCCGAGATCACATGTCTTGCGTTTATATATTGATATACAGGACCTCAGTCTTTTGGGTGGTCGGGTGGTGCAGTGGATAGCGCACTCGCCTTTCACCAAGGCGACCGGGGTTCGATTCCCCGATCGGACGTGAAAAGGTATAGGGTCTGTCACATAGTCGTGTGTACATGTGTATATTATATGATAATACTGAGGGTTATCGATTACAGTGTATTGTATGTATAAGTACAGAGGGGTGCCGATTACAGGTTGTTGTGATCAGAAGCAAGATCATTGGATAGTCGATGTTTATCTTCGTTTCACTGACCAATCAGAGGGTAGCTTACAAGCAGTAGTGAGAACATGTGCTAGTCAATTCGGGGCAGTCGCCATTTTTCCCACAAGGAGTGAGGTGCTAGCGAACATGATGGGCTAGAGCGAGGTTAGGAAGACTCCCCGGGGGTGAGTGTTATGTTACACTTGGATATAAATGTATATGGTTTATGTTAATAATAATGAATTAAGCTGTCAGGAAATATTTGTTCAGCTATAAGTCAAGTTAAGCGGTCGCTATCGGCGGCACTCTACTGTCTGAGTATAGTATAGCCAAGGTGGTTGTTAAGCTAAAATATTACGTGCATTGCCTCGTTGACAGGGGAATATATATGTAAATATTAGTCAATTATATCCATGTCAAGCCTAATAGATGAGTTCAGGGCAGTAAAAGTTGGTATTTTGTTAATTACAGTCCAAGGTGGGGGTGGACTAGGGACCATGCGGCAGGCAGCCGTGTGGCTAGTCACGTGACCTGAGACATGTAAACAGTAAACAAAAACACGTGGCGGCTGAAGTTATGAAGGGCCGCAGTGTGTAGTACTGGTTCTACGATGAACTTTCACAACTATATTATTGGTACAACTATATTATTGGTACAACTCTATTACTGGTACAACCATATGATTGGACTACGACTGGTATGAAGCTCTCAGTGGTGGTGGATGTCCGATGTTCCCCTACAGTTCGTCGTGGCCTTATGATGTCCGATCTCTTTTACACCGAGGCGACTCCAGCAGTTCATGGTGAAAGGAGATGTAATTCTGTGCGCCGGAGAGACAGTTGTTTGCGGAGGGACGTGTACTCATGCATTGTGCAGTGGACATACTGCTTGCACTCTATTACTAACATACTGTATAACTACAGTGAGGTGTGAACAGTCAAGGGGGTTAATTAACACCATTAGGACAGTAGGTTTAATTACAAAGGTCTCTCAGTGAGAGTGTATTTACGGATGATTTTGAGTATCATTTATTTGGTTATTATGTAGCCTGTTATGGGTATCCGGTTATTCTGACATGTTGTAAGCTGGATAAGATTATCTACATGTAGTAAATATGTGATATTTACATATAGGCAGGATATCAAAGGAGCTCCTTGGTCAGATAGGGACAGATTAGTAATACTTGTAACACTTGAATTATTTTTATTATTTGTTATTTTATTAAATGTTATCAATTTATTCTGGTCTTTGAGTTGTGAAATTCTTCAAAGTAACTTGGCCGACTCTGTTGCGTGACAACTGGTGGCAGCGGTGGGATGAATTAGTGGCAGTATTACTTTGAGGAATTTCATGAGATCATAATAATTAATGGAAACATGTCCATTTTAGGTTCTCGAGTACTGTACTACATTTGTTTGTTGTATACATGTGTTGAAGAGAAGAGTCACTATTGGACCCCGGGGATAGGGATAGTCACCTATTGTTATATGATATTTGAAAATACTCGAAACTATTGACTTATTCTTGTTATAAGTGGTTTAAATTTTTTTGTAATTTTTGTCAAGAAAAGTTACGGGTTACAGATCAGAGGTCAGCGAGTGTACAGGTGTTGGTCTATATCGCAGCCATGGAGGGGTATAGTGAGCTTATGGCTATAGGCGAGAAGATGGGCTTAGAGGCTGAGTCTCTGAGGGACTTTGTGACCAAAGAGCAGGCAGCTGCGCGCGATGCCAGAGGTCGCGAGAGGGAAATTAAAAGGGAGGAGGATGACAGAGCCTTCAGAATCAAGGAGTTGAGTAAGGAGAAGCTAGCGATGGAGATGCAGTTCGAGAAGGAACGGAATGAGGCAATGGAGAAGGAGCAGAAGCTCAAATTGGAGTTGATCGAAGCACAGCAGACAGCTGGTGTCCAACTTCCTCCTAGGGCACTGTCTGAGGGAAATTCTCTAGGATCAGCTAAGTATATACCCAAGTTACCCCCGTTTGATGATTAGAGAGACGAGATGGATGCTTACCTGAGAAGGTTTGAGACTTTCGCGAGATCTCAGCAATGGGAGGAGGTCAAGTGGGCCATTGGGCTAAGTACGTTGTTAAAGGGAAAGGCACTTGAGGTATTTGCGCGACTCGCTCCCGAGCAGGCTTTGAGTTATGCAGAAATCAAAGCAGCGTTACTGCAAAGGTTTGATTATACAGAAGACGGCTTCCGTAAAAGATTTCGCGACTGTGGTGTGGAATCGTCGGAGACTTTTGTACAGTTTGTGATGCGCATTGAGAATTATCTAACAAGGTGGATTGAAATGGCCAAATGTGACAGAACATTTGGGGAACTTGCGGATCTTATTCTCAGAGAACAGCTATTGTCGGGGTGTACACTGGATTTAGCATTATTTCTCAGGGAGAGGAAACCAGCTAATGTGCATCAAATGGCAGAGTTAGCTGATCGGTTTGTGGAAGCTCGCAGTGGTAAGGCGAAGGCATTCACTCTGAAACCGACATCACAGGGAAACAAGTTGACTAAGCCAGGTCAAAGTAGCAGTGGAGGAGGAGGAAAGCTGGTGACCCAGAGCAAGGGGGTTAATCATGATAGAGGTCAAGGTTATGGAACTAAACAGACACGGGACGCTAGGAGGTGTTTCAAATGCGATAGTCCATATCATTTAGCAGCAAAATGGCCGCAAACTACAGTAAAGGGAAAGGTGGCTGTGGGGACTGACATTTCGGGAAATGAGGGACGACACAACACGGACCAGATTGTGTGTGACCAAATGCCAGTTGTTAAGGGTCGTGTTGGTGATCAAGACGTCGCAGTACTAAGAGACACAGGTTGTAGTGGTATTGTCGTACGGCGAGATTTAGTAAATGACAATGAATTACTCAACATGATGCAGACATGTAAGTTAGTGGATGGACGGGAGATCAGTGTACCAATTGCTCAAGTCCGCCTAGATACTCCATACTACAGTGGCACTGCAAATGTTTGGTGTATGAATTGTCCATTATATGACGTCATTATAGGAAATGTACCTGGAGCACGTGACTCGGATAAACCTGACCCTAACTGGAAAGAGTCAGGGGGGGACATTGGGGCCGTACAGACGAGGGAACAGAGGAAACGTGAGGATATAAAAACACCATTAACTGTACCTGCGGCACTGAAGGATGTTACTACTCCAGATGAACTTGGGGATGCCCAGAAGGCAGATAAATCTTTGAGGGCCCTATATGACTTGGTAGACAAGGGGAATGTTAAACGAACGGTGACGGGAACGACGTCGCGTTTCTACATTCGTAAGGGTCTACTGTTTCGTGAATGTACAGACGAAACGTGTGTTTGTAAGCAGCTAGTAGTACCTGAAGACCATCGGGAGACTGTACTGAGGTTGGCGCATGACTCTGTTATGGCGGGTCATATGGGGATAGCTCGGACAACGGATAGGGTACTTGCAGAATTCTTCTGGCCGGGATGTCGTGCTGATATAGAACGATATTGCAAGTCCTGTGACGCATGTCAAAAAACGGTTCATAAAGGGAGAATCAAAAAGGCACCTCTGGGAGACATGCCTATCATAGACCGTCCATTTGAGCGAGTTGCAGTAGACATTATTGGACCTTTGATACCGGCTTCAGACAGGGGTCATCGTTATATTCTTACAGTTGTTGACTTTGCTACTAGGTACCCGGAGGCGACGCCACTTAAGCGTATAGAAACTGAGGATGTTGCAGAAGCGTTACTCAAAATATTTAGCAGAGTTGGTGTGCCCAAGGAGATTCTGTCGGATAGAGGGTCACAGTTCACATCTGCCCTAATGCAGGAGTTTAGTCGCATACTATCATTAAGGCAACTCACAACAACTCCCTACCATCCTGCCTGCAATGGCCTTGTCGAACGGTTTAATGTCACTCTAAAAACCATGCTTAGACGTATGTGTATAGAACGCCCTAGGGACTGGGACAAATATGTTGCCGAAGAAAAACAACAAGCTGGAACTTCAGTGGAAGGGACCATATCCTGTGGAGGAGAAAGTTGGGTCTCTAGACTACAAGATCAATATAGCAGGAAAAATCAAACCTTTTCATGCTAACATGTTGAAAGAGTATGTGGAACGTAAAAACTCGTCGGTGACAGACACCAAAATCGGTGTGTTGGAATGTGCAGTGAAATCTGTACTAGAGGAGACTTATGAGAACAGTGAAGATGGCTTACAGGATATCAAGGAGGAAAACCCATTACTATTACTACATTTGGAAGCTACCGAGACTGTCTCTGATGTCAACAGGGCAGAAAACATGACACAGAAACAACGTGGGGAAATCATTGCGTTATTGGATGAATTCAAGGATGTATTAACTGATTTGCCGGGATGCACAAAGTTAGCTACACACGAGATCAATACGACAACACGTGAACCGGTACGCGTTAAACCCTACCCGATTCCGTATAAAATCATAGACACTGTAAAAACGGAAGTCGACAAGATGCTTTCTATGGGGGTTATAGAACCGTCGGAGTCGGACTACAATTCGCCAATTGTGTTGGTGCGGAAAAAAGATGGTGGATGTCGTTTCTGTATTGACTATCGGCAGTTGAATAAGGTGACAATTTTTGATGCAGAACCGATGACGTCAGCTGATGATTTATTTGTTAAATTGGCAGGTAGCCAGTTTTATAGTAAATTAGACCTAAGCAAAGGATATTGGCAGGTCCCATTGGACCAGGCAGACAGAAAGAAAAGCGCATTCTCGACACCGTTTGGGCTCTTCCATTTTAAGGTAATGCCTTTTGGACTGGTCAACTCACCTTCAACATTCAACAGGCTCATGAGGAAATTACTCAAGGGAATGGACAACCTGGATAACTTTGTGGATGATATTATTATCTTTACCAAAACATGGGAGCAGCACGTAACTGTACTGAGAGAGTTGTTCACCAGACTACGTGGGGCTAATTTGACTGCGAGACCATCCAAATGTTTCATTGGGTACGAAAGCATAGAATGCCTTGGTCATGTGGTTGGACGAGACATTATTCAGCCAGCTGCAGCTAAGCTGGACGCAATACTACAGGCACCCAGGCCAACAACAAAGAAGCAAGTTCGGTCTTTCATTGGGCTTGCTGGTTTCTACAGGAAGTACATACCAAACTTTGCTAGCATCGCGGTCCCGCTCACAGATCTCACCAGAAAGGGAATGTCTAACAAAGTTGGGTGGGACACTGCACAGGAAAACGCGTTTTCTACACTAAAGAAACTGATGGCGTCGGAGCCAATTCTCCAGTTACCGAATATAAACAAGGAGTTTGTGTTGAGAACGGATGCCTCAGACAGCGGGGTCGGGGCTGTACTATTGCAAACTGATGAGGGCAATATTCTTCACCCAGTGGCATACGCCAGCAAGAAGTTATTACCACGTGAGAAAAGATATTCAGTTATCGAGAAGGAGTGTCTGGCATTGACATGGGGTGTCAATAAATTTGCACAGTACTTGTTGGGCACAGAGTTCTGTGTACAAACTGATCATCATCCATTGATGAGTTTAACGGATAAGAAGGTGGCCAACGCGCGACTCATGCGATGGGCACTCCTGCTTCAACCATACAGGATGAGGATACAGGCAATCCCTGGGAGAGAAAACATAGGAGCAGACTACTTGAGCCGAGTCATAGCCTAAAGCCTATCAGCTCAACCGGGAATACTGTTGATAGGTTGGTTAGGGTAGATAACCACTATTTTGTCAGTGTAAGTGTCGTTTTAACAGTTTAAATACTTTTGGGAGATAGTTAAAAAGATGTAAAATCTTTTTTCTTAAGGAAGGGAGGCAATGTCACATAGTCGTGTGTACATGTGTATATTATATGATAATACTGAGGGTTATCGATTACAGTGTATTGTATGTATAAGTACAGAGGGGTGCCGATTACAGGTTGTTGTGATCAGAAGCAAGATCATTGGATAGTCGATGTTTATCTTCGTTTCACTGACCAATCAGAGGGTAGCTTACAAGCAGTAGTGAGAACATGTGCTAGTCAATTCGGGGCAGTCGCCATTTTTCCCACAAGGAGTGAGGTGCTAGCGAACATGATGGGCTAGAGCGAGGTTAGGAAGACTCCCCGGGGGTGAGTGTTATGTTACACTTGGATATAAATGTATATGGTTTATGTTAATAATAATGAATTAAGCTGTCAGGAAATATTTGTTCAGCTATAAGTCAAGTTAAGCGGTCGCTATCGGCGGCACTCTACTGTCTGAGTATAGTATAGCCAAGGTGGTTGTTAAGCTAAAATATTACGTGCATTGCCTCGTTGACAGGGGAATATATATGTAAATATTAGTCAATTATATCCATGTCAAGCCTAATAGATGAGTTCAGGGCAGTAAAAGTTGGTATTTTGTTAATTACAGTCCAAGGTGGGGGTGGACTAGGGACCATGCGGCAGGCAGCCGTGTGGCTAGTCACGTGACCTGAGACATGTAAACAGTAAACAAAAACACGTGGCGGCTGAAGTTATGAAGGGCCGCAGTGTGTAGTACTGGTTCTACGATGAACTTTCACAACTATATTATTGGTACAACTATATTATTGGTACAACTCTATTACTGGTACAACCATATGATTGGACTACGACTGGTATGAAGCTCTCAGTGGTGGTGGATGTCCGATGTTCCCCTACAGTTCGTCGTGGCCTTATGATGTCCGATCTCTTTTACACCGAGGCGACTCCAGCAGTTCATGGTGAAAGGAGATGTAATTCTGTGCGCCGGAGAGACAGTTGTTTGCGGAGGGACGTGTACTCATGCATTGTGCAGTGGACATACTGCTTGCACTCTATTACTAACATACTGTATAACTACAGTGAGGTGTGAACAGTCAAGGGGGTTAATTAACACCATTAGGACAGTAGGTTTAATTACAAAGGTCTCTCAGTGAGAGTGTATTTACGGATGATTTTGAGTATCATTTATTTGGTTATTATGTAGCCTGTTATGGGTATCCGGTTATTCTGACATGTTGTAAGCTGGATAAGATTATCTACATGTAGTAAATATGTGATATTTACATATAGGCAGGATATCAAAGGAGCTCCTTGGTCAGATAGGGACAGATTAGTAATACTTGTAACACTTGAATTATTTTTATTATTTGTTATTTTATTAAATGTTATCAATTTATTCTGGTCTTTGAGTTGTGAAATTCTTCAAAGTAACTTGGCCGACTCTGTTGCGTGACAGGGTCACCTGCCCGAGCACGTGGGTTTTCCCCGGGTTCTCCGGTTTCCTCCCACATAAAGACCCTACGCGTGCTTCCATTCGGGCGAACACGAGTGATTGATATAAATTGAAATAACTTGTTCCATACTTGTTGTAAAATACATAAAGTTTATATTTATATAAATACAGGACTAACTGTGTGTAAATATATCAATTGAAAGAAAAGCGGCCGACAAAACCTTCTCTACCCTACATTTTAAGTTAACGATGACTCTACACTATAGACTGTCACGTGATCCTTTATAAATTTTGAAAACTCAGTCATAACCTTATCGAATTATAACTTGATAAGTATTGATGTCCGCAGGTACCCTTATCGACTATAAACATGTATATCATCTGACGTAGCCGTAACAAGGACGTAACGACCTATACTAGACTATACCATTTGTGAGTAATGTGTTAACACATTCCTTCATAGATCTTAAAGGATGGCAAGTAACAGACCAGTATTGCGTGCCCAGGAACCTGTTACATGTACCTACACGTGTGCTTTGCGTGACAGTGAATACGGGGTACCGTGGTATTGTAACGATTGTCAGGAGCATTTATGTGATCGGTGTTAAGAATTTCACCAGAGTGAGAGAAAAACTAAAAATGACGACATCGTATCAATTTTGGACGCCAATCGTCAAGGTCACAAGCCTGTACCAGAAGTATGTAAACTACATCCTGGTAAAGTGTGTGACGTGTACTGTTGTGATTGTGACATACTGATGTGTATGAAATGTTTTTCCCAAACACATACACATCACAAATGGGAACACTTCGAAGACAAACTCGGCACCATAAAACAACAATTGCAAGGACACAAGACAGCAATATCTTCTAAAATTGCCCATTTCCATAACGATCTGTCAACGCGGAGCCGTGCTTACAAAATATTCAACGGAGACATTGTAACAATAAGGACAATGGTGAACTCTAAGAGGAAAAAGTTAAAGGCAGAAGTAGATACTATCGCAGATGCAGTGTTGTCTGAGTTGGAATCCTTCGAAAAAGAAGAATCAACAGCGTATCAGAAAGATTGTCAACAATCGGAGAAAACAGTAAGAGAGCTGACATGTCTACTTGAAAAAGCAGAAATGACAGATATATCAAGTTTATCCATGTTTGAAAAGGAAAGGTCAATGAGGAAAACTCTTCCCTTGTACGATGTCAATGTGAACGATGCTTTGCCAAAGCAACCATTTTTTTTGACCGGATGTATCGACCACGCCATGCTGACTAAAATGTTTGGTGAATAACGCCACAAGAACCCGTATGATAAGATCGGCAGTAATCACGTGAGACGTCTCTCCAAGTTTACTGTGTTACCCACCACAATACAATACGTGGTATATGTCCAGTCGACGACAGCCACGCGTGGTTGTCAGTTCATGAATACAAGGGCCTGGTACTGGTCAACAGGAGTGGTGTTATCAAAGAGACAGTATATCTTGAAATCCACCCGTACAATATCACCATGTTCGGAGCAACAGACCTGCTTATAACGACTTTCCCACAAAGATCATGTGTATATAAATTATCACTGCACAACAAACAGGTGACAACATTCGCCGACATCAGTCTTCACAAAGCATATGACATTAGTACTAACGAGAAAGGGGAGGTGTTCGTTAGTACTAACACACAAGTCATAGCGGTACTGAATAACTCTGGTAGGATTGAAAGGGAA